AACAGTTTGAATGCTTTAATTTCGTGAAATTGTAAGTTCACGTGCAAACCTTGACTTTGTAGCCTATAAAGATGTTCTGTGCACGGTTAACAACTAAAATTATTGTATTAAACCTAATATTAAAAACCTTGTCCAAAACATCCCGAGTGGCAAGTTTTCAGTTTTGCTCAGTATATTTTAAACCTAAGTCGAATGAAAAGTGCGGGTCCTGGCACGGCTCATGGACACAACTCTGAAAATGAGTGAGTGAGTGAGTTTAGTTTACGCCGCACTCAGCTGTATTCCAGCTATATGGCGGCAGTCTGTAAATAATCAAGTCTGGACCAAACAATCCAGTGAGCGACAGCATGAACATCGATCTGCGCAATTGGGAACCGATGACATGTGTCAACCAAGTCAGCGAGCCTGACCACCCGATCCCACTGAAAGTGAGATGTGACAAGCTAGTAAAACATTGACATGTCTGTGCATCCATACATACCCGAGCTAAGGAGACTCTGAAGACCGGCTCTTCGCACAAGACTTGTGAACGACATGATGTCGTATCTAGAACTCAGTGCATCCATGATGGTTCTTGCAGCAACATCACAGACGCCAAACAGAAGCAGTCCACACACGAAGTACAGCTTCATTGCTCCACCATGTAAGTTACCCTTGAAACATACATATTGAATAGGTATCTTCTTTACCTCTGACTGACGTACCTATAGCCAATTTGTCCAAAACAATTTAGTGTTACGAATAGTTTGTTCATACTGAAATTTCAATAATTCATAAATTATTTTCTAGTTATTTCATGCGTTTTTCGACATATGAAATCGCGCAAATGGGCCTGAGATGTTTCGATTCTGGGGCATATTGTGGTACCTAGCTATATACCGGGTATATAATTATCATATTACGTCGATCTTTAAACGAATCAAGTCTGGACAGTGAACCAAGTCGCGGATGTTATGAGCAACTGTCAAAGCAGTTGTATGGTAACGCGCAATTAGCGAATCGCCAAACCTGATTACCTGTCCATGGCACGATCATCATAGATTGCTTAGTGTCTAATCTAATTCGGCGGATGGAAATACATCAGCCTCAAATTTGAATTTGATTGAAATACCTCTGTAAATGCTACTTAATTAAATACATACTTCATTTTTTAGTGAAATATGAAGTTTAGATTACTCACCTCAGACCTGGGGGCTTCAGCCACCCTTCCGTGTTAATATAAGCTCATGCTATCATCGGGAATGTGGGGTTATCATGGGTTGAACTTGGGCGTGGAAACCAAGATTTGCAGTACATGTAATCAGCTGAAAGGACTATATTTACAAGAGTACGTCTCCATATCTTTCATTATTTATCATGTAATAAGAAAGTAAGAAAGGAACTGAAACACATGTTTACTTACTTATATATGCGGATAAATAGGGGTCCTGGTACCGATGTACAAAGCGATCTTAGTGCTAAGGTGACCGTAACTCCTATTCCTTAACAGGCTTACGCCAGTCTTAGCCCTAAGGTTGTTTTGTACAATGGCACCCCTGTCTATAATGATGGTTGAGAATGTCTTCGACACGATTAGCATGATTCAAGCTATGATACAACTACATTGTAGCTTGTCCTAAAGCGTTTTAGAAAAATGCAATAAATCCTAGACCGTAGATGAATAACGAATAACCGCTAATGATCCTGAGCGGATCCTGGCACCTTTCAGGGAGGCAACTCTGAAGTGAGAAGCGATAAACTAGTAAAGCCATGGCTTTTGTGGTTTCATGGAGCCAGTTATTGAATGCGTGTACATTTATTACTGGTGACGTCAGCAGCAATTATCAATTACCAGTATAACTATAACTGATGACGCTTACACCAGTTGTTGATGACGTGTATGTCAGATACTCATACGCGCGCCTAGAAGTTCAAGCGGGGAAACTTAAGTTCATGTTTGTGTGCATGTGATCTATTACACTCACTTGTAAACAATTATGTAACAAAAGACCCAAGTAAAACAGAAACCGTATAATTATTCATACACATATTGTCGCTGTTGTTACTGTCTTCAGAACTGAAAATGATGAAGCTTGGAAATAACATCTCGTTTGGGAATCCAGTTAATGATTAATTGTTCTAGAATTAGAGATATTCTCCCTAATTCATTATAAACACCATTTTACAAATAATGTGTACACTTACAATGAAAGCACTTGTGGATTAAAACTATTTTTTTTCTTTTTACTGACAGTGATAATACCTTTCATACCTTAATGAAACCGTATCACATTGTCAATATATATATAGCTCAGTTTATCCACAAATTATACACACCGATTCTTTCAAGATCAAGAACTTATCCCTCATTTTAGTTGCATTTTTCACAATGTCTCTGATTAAATGGCTTTACTTTGTACAGAATCTGACCACGTGTCACCGACATGTATCGGTAAAAATATATTACAGCTGTTTCTGTCAACACCAAAAACCGGTATTTTACAACTGACTCCCACGATAAGATATGAGGTTTCTGGAAGTTAAGCAACACGATACAGGGCTACGATGTACTCTTACTGAACGTGTGTTACAGAGAAATACACAGCAATAGTTGAAAGTGGCACCAATGCAACAACATCTAGATTAACGGATATCTTGTCATTTTGCAAATAACCTTGTTTGTGTGAAATGCGTAAAAGAAAAAAATACAGGCAAGTAAATGACTGCGGAAAAGGGTGTGCACGTGCGTGTGCGGACGTCAAAGGCGTGACCTCTGATCATTTTCTATAAGGGAATTGATACTTTTGTTACTGTAATAAATTCAACCCGTAAAAATATGTTTTGAAGCTCTGTTCCATTTTTCCAAATATCAAAGAAACTTAAGGAAAGTCAGTTAAATGTTTTGAGAAAAACTTTGAAAGCAATTTGGAGCGGAGGTAAAAGAGCGTTGACGGTTCTAATATTGAGACAACACATACCGTGCTGTTAGCAAAGGCGAAAATTCACTCTTGTTCAGACGCGAGTTTATTGACAGTTTGGCCAGTCTAGAAGATCAGTAAAAGATAATTACTCGAGCCTGGAACTGTGGGCGTCTATCACACTTCTCCCATTTGGGGAGCACACATTAGTTTTACTGGAAAAAAGTACTGGAAAAAGTGACTTGACGCTATGTCTACAAGCAGTGTAAGTCTACAATAATCCTTTGGGAGAGTGTGTGGCACTGTTCGTCATTGGAAAGGTTTTAATGGTATAACATCGTTTCTTCTGAGATATAGTCGAGGTTATTTCTCGAAACTATGTTGACTGGGTAAAAAGTCTCGATATTTGTCTGTGACTAATTCAGGACACCCATTGTCCAAATATTTTAAAAGTCCAAAAACTATGTAGCCAAGATATGTGAGAGTTAATTGTAATTATTTAATCTGCATTCTTAATAATTATCACTACCGAAGTGTACATTGTCTTGTCAGCCACCCTGTATCACTCTGTCACTTTCATTAACTACTGACATTTATAGCCTTATTGGTCATCCCCCTTGGCCGTGTCTGCCATCACATCAACTGGTCAAGGAAGTGCTATTGTTTCTCTATCTGTCCATTGTTGAGTCTTCGCCTGTCCATTGTTGTCAAAAACTGTATATATGCTCACATCAATATTGTCAAGGAGTCCGATATTCCGACTGTCTGTGTAGGGACGACAGCGATCATTATAATGCCGCTCGTTGGAAATGCCCTGGGGTTGAGCAGGAACTCCTCATTCTTGTATACTTGTTTGCCATGGCTTGTGTAACCAACTAAAGTGGTTTGAACTCAACCTATCCTTCGTCTTTGTCAACGTATAGTACGTATAATTATGACCTAGTTCCCCAGTCGACCACATCTACGCGTTGACAACTGGTGTTAGAATCCGACTGGAGTAACTTTTTAGCTTACCCCCGACTCTGAAACCTCTTTATGTGCCTACCATTAACATTTGTATCAAGGATGATTCCCCAAGTTCTACGTCTACCTGAAGAGTTTGCAAGCGTCTTGATCAACATGAATCCTCAACGCCATTTTGAATGGAGCATCATACAGCAACCACCTAATGAACAACCTACAAGTTAGGGATGAAACAGCTAGATACCATAAACCAAGCAAGTACACGCGTCTCTCCCACAGAGATCTGATCACAGCCATCAATATGGAGATTTTGTATTCATACAGAAGCCACCTCACGGACATCTTGAAGATTGATCTTGTGTCCAAGGCAGCTCATCAGGTCTTACTTCTCTATGTGAGCTTAAATGGACTCAGTTCAGGATATACAATGTATTATTGTTGATAAGTGCAACCAGGTATGTTCAATCTCAGGCCTGTACATTATTACCTTCTTATGTCAATATCATAAAGTATTTTATGCATGTGAACAATGTGCTCCAAATTACTTCTGCAGAATGAAGTCAGAATAGGGATATTCTTGGGTCCAGCAAGGGATATTCTTGGGTGTCAGTAATAAGACATAAACAGCAAAACAATATTCAGCATTTTAGAATTTTGAAGTCAAAACAAGATTATTTGTTATTTGTTGACCACAATATATGGTCGAGCTCTGTCAACGACACAGGAATAGCACCCATTGTAGGATTATTTTTATTGGGAATAGCACCCACACTTATTTGGGCAAGCTCTGTCAAAGACACAGATACAGTATAGTTACTGAGAGGGTGTGGGACAGTATAGTTAGAATTCTTGTCATCTCATCCTACCGGTTAAATCATTTGCATGACATCGAGCTATTAACCCTGAGCAAGGAATTCACTCACAAATGCATGATAAATCATATATCAACCATTAAATTGTGTAAGCATGAGAAATATCTCGAATCTGTTGATTCCAAAAACAAAATGAACCTATTTTAACACAGACGTACGCTTCGAATGATGTTTCGAGATGGATCATGCAATTTCTTGTTTAGCAAGACAGAAACCTCCAGCAGCTCATCTCTCTGATAAGCATACAAATGACATAGATAAACGGAAGTTCATACCAACATCTCTTTATTTTGAGTGTGTCGTCTCAAACATTGCTTTCATCCAATTATCGCGTCGAGACCTCGAAGGTACGCCCATGTTACCTTCACGCCACTGATAGCATGGATGACGCCATTGGTGGCAACCCAGTCCTCGTTCAAGACGTTTCCTTCAAACGGGCTAATCCTAAAGGATTGCCTTCCTGTTGAGAGTGGATGAACAACTGTGTAAATGATTTAGTGGGTGAAGTACGGATAGTCGATAAGGTTCAGATAGTGGGTGAGGTAGGGATAGTGGGTGAGGTTGTTATAGTAGGTGAGTAAGGGATAGAGGGTGAAGTTGGGATAGTAGGTGAGTTAGGGATAGTGGGGGAATTAGGGATAGTGGGTGAGGTTGTTATAGTAGGTGAGTAAGGGATAGAGGGTGAAGTTTGGATAGTAGGTGAGTTAGGAATAGTGGGTGAGTTAGGGATAGTGGGTGAGGTTGTTATATTAGGTGAGTTAGGGATTGTGGATGAGGTTCACATAGCGGGTAAGGCTGTTATAGTAGATAAGTAAAGGTGGGTAAAGTGGGGATAGTGGGTGAAGTTGAGATAGTGGGTGAGTGAGGGATAGTGGGTGAGGTAGGGATAGTGGTACCTAACGCTGCTTTGAACAGTATTTCTGATGTTAAGGCGCGTCAGATTGATGCGCAAGGAATTTCCGAAGTGATCAGATGCTTTTCACTTTGGAGAAAGAAACGAACACTGGGATGTTGCTAACAAAACCTCGAATCGAATCCATGATCCAGAGTTCCTACCACTCCTAAGGGAGGCAATTATACCACTGAAATACGCCGGGGCTACCAATTTCATTATACCATGAAAATTAAGCTATAGCGATGCCTCGATTCCCCACATGGATACAAAAAGCGGCGTAAAACCATACTCACTCACTCATTATATCAATGCCTCCACGGGTTTCTCACCTTACAGTGGAGCACGTGACAGGTATCTCCACGCACAGGTAACAATCGGTGTTTTTCACTCAGGTGAGTTTAGTTTTTCGCCACTTTTAGCAATATTCCAGCAATATCACGGCTGAGATACCGGAAACGGGCTTCACCCATCGTATCCATGTCGGAAATCGAACCCAAGGTCTTTTTCGTGACGAGCATGCGCTTTAACCAATAGGCTACCCAACCTCCCCTTTATCATGTACATATCATTATGATGTAGATTGTATAGTCGGGATAGGGTAGGCAAATCCTAAATAATTAATGTGATACATCAAGAGTGAGTGAGTATGGTTTTACGCCGCTTTTAGCAATATTCCAAAAACATAACGGCGGGGGACACCAGAAATAGGCTTCACACATTGTACCCATGTGGAATCAAACCCGGGCCTTCGACGTCACAAAAGTACGCTAAAACCACTAGGCTACCGCCCAGACACGTCAATATGTTATCTGATGACTTCCGAATGTACCCTTACTGATCCTATTTTCTAGCAGAGAAATGTAGAAGTTGACACTTGCCGTATTCGTGCACGACGAGGTTATTGTCGTATCTACTGTTGTCATCCCTGATTTTCTCTTCGTCATAAAACCCAGACGTGTAGTAGGTGCCTGGCACGACGTGGAATTCCACCATTGCTGGGAGAAGATTGTTTGATGTTTAACAAGTTATTGACATGATTTTGATACAAAAGAAGCTTTTTGAGGAGTTGAAAGACGGGATTCGTATTTCATTTATGATTCCAAAAATGTATGTGGACATTAGTCAACAATCTTGCAATAACAATATTATCACTGAACTATTTGTCTGGGCATGTTGTTGATTAAAGTACCACTCAAATGGAGATGGTGTTGAGGAGGACGTTGGTCTCACTGTTCTTGGGCAAGGTTGAGAAAGAAAGAGCCACCATGCCAACAAGCATCACTAATCTCGTACCATGGGAATATTGTTGACGAAAGCATCACTAATCTCGTACCATGGGAATATTGTTGACGAAAGCATCACTAATCTCGTACCATGGGAATATTGTTGACGAAAGCATCACTAATCTCGTACCATGGGAATATTGTTGACAAAGCAAGCATCACTAATCTCGTACCATGGGAATATTGTTGACGAAAGCATCACTAATCTCGTACCATGGGAATATTGTTGACGAAAGCATCACTAATCTCGTACCATGGGAATATTGTTGACGAAAGCATCACTAATCTCGTACCATGGGAATATTGTTGACGAAAGCATCACTAATCTCGTACCATGGGAATATTGTTGACGAAAGCATCACTAATCTCGTACCATGGGAATATTGTTGACGAAAGCATCACTAATCTCGTACCATGGGAATATTGTTGACGAAAGCATCACTAATCTCGTACCATGGGAATATTGTTGACGAAAGCATCACTAATCTCGTACCATGGGAATATTGTTGACGAAAGCATCACTAATCTCGTACCATGGGAATATTGTTGACGAAAGCATCACTAATCTCGTACCATGGGAATATTGTTGACGAAAGCATCACTAATCTCGTACCATGGGAATATTGTTGACGAAAGCATCACTAATCTCGTACCATGGGAATATTGTTGACGAAAGCATCACTAATCTCGTACCATGGGAATATTGTTGACGAAAGCATCACTAATCTCGTACCATGGGAATATTGTTGACAAAAGCATCACTAATCTCGTACCATGGGAATATTGTTGACGAAAGCATCACTAATCTCGTACCATGGGAATATTGTTGACGAAAGCATCACTAATCTCGTACCATGGGAATATTGTTGACTAAAGCATCACTAATCTCGTACCATGGGAATATTGTTGACGAAAGCATCACTAATCTCGTACCATGGGGATATTGTTGACGAAAGCATCACTAATGCAGGAGGATGTTGTTGAATAATTTTAACTCACCTCTCATCATATTTAAGCTGTTAAACAAAGCATCCGTCCTATTTTTATACATGTTGTCAAATGCAAGATCGTAAGGAGCAAGGACTGTGATGTTGTCTTCTGTTGGGAAAACGTTCGCCAATTAGTATTGAAATATGGCATAACATAATGAAATTTAACGGAATAAGCCAACCGTACAACGTTCCTTTAATTTTAACCTTGCACATTGAACTCATGTTTAAATATGCATTTTAAAACTTTTGCATTTGAATGGAATATATTATTATATCAACGTACCACTGATGAAATCCAAACACCCGTAGCCATCTACCTAACAACTGACATCTTTATCAGGCTGATACACACCTGAATTAGTTCTATATGCTTCATCTGGGCAGAGATATCGGCAAACCAACTGCATCCCCATATTATCCTCATTATCACCCTTAGATCGTTATGACCCCCGATAAAAATAACGACAAAGCCATGGAATGTCCCTTATACACTCTCAGTCTGTTCAGCAATGTAGATGAGGCTTTTGTCATCATACACCCCAGCAACGACCACAGGCCCTCGTGTCTTTGCGAGGATTAAATATTTTATAAAAATATATATAAACATTTGAGATGACCCCCCAACTCGAAATGCTTCACAGTACGTTTGTCAGACAAAACAAGTTTTAATCGATTGCATGCGATGGTAGCGTAGCGATCGGCAAAGCAGTCGGGTGGGGTGCACCGAAGTTTCCGGCCTTGCCATGATGTATTGTAACGTGAAGCATTTCGTGTCGGGGTCATCTCAAAAACAATATTTTAATAATCTTTAATCCTCGCAAAGACACGAGGGCCTGTGGCAACGACCCCATCAAATTTACTTGATCGCCTCAACTCCCCAAACCAACGTATTCATTTCACCATGGAAGACGAATTCAACTGTCAACTGAACCTTTCGTGGTTCCTTGTACAGATAGACAATAACTAGCTCCAGATCACTGTATACCGCAATCAAATAGTACAAACCCCGAATAATAGTTCGGTTTCCAGATCATATTCGATGCAGGTGGGGATATTTTATCGATGCAGGGGGATATTGGTCACGAAAGCATCACTTAACTCGATACAGGGGAATATTGCTGACGAAAGCATAACTTACCTCGACGCAGGGAAATATTGCTGACGAAAGCATAGCTTACCTCGACGCAGGGAAATATTGTTGACGAAAGCACCACCCGCATAACCCGACCACAGCATGAAGTGGGATAAAAATCACAGGCGGGGCATCAACCCTCAAAGACTTTAAAAGGAGAAATCTCCAAGAAGCAATCTAAAGACTCCAACCATCTAATCACCAAGCTTACCATCAGCTCATCAAAGATTCCAGTCAGTCGTATTCCTCATATTCAATATTCTTTTTCATACTACTGCCTGCGACTGTTATGGACCATATACTTTAGATAAACCGCACTACTCTACTCAGCACTATAAATACTACCTCACATCTGTATACTCTTCTCAGCCATCCTCACTTACATATGATAACGTTGTTAGAACCAAACTGTAATCAAGAATTAGGTTCTGCAGTATCTTATCCTTACTTAACATGCAACATTACCCTGTGTACCTTGCAAGGTTGCACCTGATTACGTGAATCCAGCGTCTTGTAACCATGTAGACAACACTGGTTAACTCTTCGCATTATGTTCATCTATCGACATATATTTAACACCAATATCTACTTTCATATTGTTTCAATGTTTACCACGATTCTTGGACTTCGGATAATTTTCAAAAACCTTTATGTTTTGTCGTCATTCCCGATAAGGCGGCAGCCGTGATAGATTTGGAGTACTTGGAGTCCTGCTGTATGTTAAACTAGCTATTTTACACGGATATCTACTACTTTCATGTTGTTCCATGTTTACCATGATGATTTGACTTCGGATAATTCTCAAACCTTTAAGTTTACTCGTCATTCCCGATAAAGCGGCCGCCGTGAGAAATTTGGAGTACTTGGCGTCCTGCTCTAGGGTTCGGACAACATCAGCCGTCGGGGGGCTCAGGATAGAGCTCAGCAGATAAATATGTCCATTTGACACGGTCATGTTGGACTCCTGCAGGACCTCGCCGTTAACAACAGTCACCTGTATGCAAGACAAAATGCTGGAAATGTAACACTGAACGAAGCATATCATCAGAGAAAGAGGAAGTAAAGCAGAGACAGAAATCCAGCAATAAATGAATAGATATAAGAAAGGGCACCAGACCACGTTAAACACTGTAGACGCCTTTGACGTACATTGTTATGTGGGTAGGTGGCCAGGCGAACAGGTTGTGACGTCAGGGTGTTGACTTTCTCTCCTGTCCATTCGCGCTCTGTGATCCCAGCGTACGGCACGATGTGATAGTTGACCATGGCCTTCAATTGGGTGATGTTCTGGTACAGCTGCGAAATCATATCTGCAGGTAAGGTTTCAAGTGCCGAGTCTGTTGGGACGAAGACCGTGTAGTTTCCTTCAAGACCAAAAGACGTCATGTAATATGTTGTGTTATGAGCTTTATGAGACCGCATTCCCATTACATCATACTGAACATCGGGTTATTCGTTCTTGAATTTATTCATGTGGCTCCATAAATATACGAGTCTGAACTAGATATTCCTGAGGGTGATATTTGAGCAACTGTCTGAGTCAAGAGCCGATCCCGATCACCTGTACTCTTAAATCACCTCTTACGACAAACACAGATTAGACCTAATGTAAACCTGAATATCCACAGGTATTCCATAAGCTTTTGAATGTTTTGAGTGCAGCTCATGTAACTGCAGTCAGTTGATTACATGTGCGTATGAAATTAACTTCGTCTCTGTATTTCGGATAATCCCTCATTCGATCTAGATAATGAAATGTTTTATGAGAGTAAGTGAGTATTTAGTGTCAAATCAGGACTACTTTTGATGACAAAACTAAAACAATGTCATATTGATCAGCTACGGATTGGTGTATATATTGACTCTAGCCGCAACATATTTATGTGTAAAGCCTGCAATTTTCGTATCCAGAACATGAGCACAGTTCGCCACCTTCTTACATGAAGTTCCACAGAAGCCCTTGTTTGATCAATTATAGTTTCTGGGCTCGACGTTTGTAACAACTTGATGGCGGGTACCAATAAACAACAGATACAGAGACTACAGACCTTCCAAAATAAACCTGCCAGAAAAACAGCTAGGATTAGACAGTGTTCACACATTACAGCAGTGCTTAAATCACGCCATTGGCTTAATGTACAAGAAAGAACTGACTGCAAGATCGTGTCACTTGTTTCAGAGGCTCTTCATAACACTGCTCCACTCTACAGTATCTGCAGGACCTGGTTCGTCCCTACAGATCCACCAAAAACCTCCGCTCCAAGCAACAGTGACACTTATGTGTCCCTACAAACTCAGATCCTTTGGTGCCAGAACGTTCTCATGTTCAACAGCAACTCGCTTCCTCTTGACCCAAGACCAGCACCTTCCTTGCCAGCCTTTATATTAAGACTACAGACCTACCTATTTGTTATACTTAATTTTCTACTCTTGTACATACATCTGCCCTCTTCTTCTCATGTTAGCGCTTTGAGAGTTCCTTTTCATTAATTGGAAAAAAGGTGTACGGGTGACTTACAACAGGCGAACGTACGACAGGTGCGTCAACGAAACGTTGCGTCCCACGACCTTACGTTGTCTGATAAGTGCAATATAACGAATTTATCTTATCCGACATATCCGATAACGATAAATGTGAATTCTAACACAGCTAATGGAGATAACTCTGAAATTAAAGATGCAGCATTATCTTCATATTTTAAATTGTTGACAAATAGATAATGTAAGTTTTTATCCATCCATACATTTCGTCTGAACATACCCGTGGTGAGGAGACTTTGAAGACCCGCTCTTCGCACGAGACTTGTGAAGGACATGATGTCGTACCTAGAACTCATAGCCTCCATGATGGTTTTGGCAGCAACATCACAGACGCCAAACAGAAGCAGCCCACACACGAAGTACAACTTCATTGCTCCACCATGTAAGTTCCCCTGAAACACTGAAAATACGTATCTTCTTTAACTCACCCTTGGTCAATACAACCCAGGCTCATTCAACAGGCAGGTGTACCCAGCACGCTAAACTTGATTTTTGATCAACTAATACTTTAGGAGTTCTTAAATATGTCTATAAAAGTTGGACACGTGAGGATCTGGGTCAGAACGGATGTGGTTGATGTGTGCCATTGGGCCTGATGTTAATCACTGGATTATCCGGCACAGACTCGAGTATTTAGAAACCGACTTCATATAGCTAAGCGCGGGGTTAAACAACAAACAGAAAAGAACCATGTGAGTTGGCTGTTTATGCCTTTTTTTGCAATTTCCGAATTGATATGAAAACTACATGGTCAAAACAGATTTGTTGTGCGCTTCGGATGGAGAATATTCAAGTCAGGGCCAGAGTGTATTGCCAAGGCCAGATACATGATTGAGACCTGTAAATAATCGAACGAGGACTGATAATCAAGTGATGTATGATCAACGCTGTCGTACGATGACACGCCATCAACGAAATCGCCCAAGACGTTCTCGAACTATCCCTTCCAAAACTCTTGTTTACCCAACTTTGAAGCAGAGGCAACTCTCTTCTACAAGTTATGTAAAACTGCTCATGCTCGAAGAGAGAAGTGGTGGCAGGATTCATTCCTAAACATGCACAAGAGGCTTCTTCGCTCCAGCGGATATAGAACGTATAGATCGAAGAAATTCGTGTCCTTTATATCCCTGTGTCATCTACAAGATGGTAATATGAATACCTCAAGTATCAGTACGAATTAAAATAAGTACGCCCTTTCTGACCAGTAATCAATCGAATAACCTCGCGATACGTTTAAGAGAGAAATACACGCCGTCAAGTTGAATTGAATGTAACTTAAACCGTCCTAATAAATGCATATTTCAAAAAGGGAAAAACTACATTACTTACCTTAATCTCTTTGTGGCTTCGTGAACTTTTCCCTGTTAATATAAGCTTGCGTTATCAACTGGAACATGGGGGTTATCAAGGGTTTTACATAGGAGTGGAAACCAAGATTCGTACAACTGGTAATCAGTAAACAGAGCTATTTTTGCAATTTCTTGTCTGTATTTGTTCGTTGTTTTTTAGGTTTATCTAGAATTTCTGTGATAGGCAGAACATACAGTATACACTAAGAGGCAAAAGAAACTCCCCTACCATTTGAATGTCAGTAAAATAAAATAAAAAACCCAAATACATTTTTTATGTTTCATAACATACAACATGTATTAATATAATCAGGTAACCCGCCATACAGCTGGAATATTGCGTTAACTAACCACAACAACCAAACAAACAATGCATCTCTGTGCAATGAGGTTTGAACAAAGGTGAGATCCAAATAGATATTGTTCAAATTGACATGTTAATAACTGGTTCATATTAGACTTCCAAATGGAAAATTTTTCATTGTTCTTGTCAGGATTCTCGAGTGTCTGTTTGTGTTCTAGTATTTACATGCATGTCAGTACACGTCTTAGTGCTGATGTCGCCCGTCTTTCGATGTCGTCATAGAGGATTATGTGCCCTTACTCTAAAAAATTTCGTTCCAGCTTGTTTCTGTGGACTTGTGGTTTTGACATTTTCTAAGTTGTCTGTCCAAGTGATCTCGTAAGTGTTCAGTCGCGTTCATATCCGGGATCTTTCACTGACATCCAGACATTCCATGCTGTAGTATCCCAATACCAGAAAATGTGGAGACTGTGTCACAGCCTGTAAAGGCATGGAAGAAGAGATGACCCCTGTATATACTGAGTCCAAGCTTTTCAGCAATCTAATTAGATGGAATATATGGTTTGTGGGCACGGTGACCAAAGTGCGCCCACAGCTGACAGTCAAGATAAGAAGGGGCCGCAGCAACGCTGAGGAGAACGGCATCTGTATCGGTTGCAACCACCAGAATTTTCTCGTAGTCTTAATTTGCCGCATGTTTACAGTGCAGAAGCATTCTTGTACCGCCTCTGTGATTACACGGCTGGAGACTCACCAGCTTGCCTGCTGAGTTCCTTGTCTTTAAGAGTATAGCAGAGGACTTTGTCATTTGGGACATCAGCATTTGATGAACTTTCTGCAAAAGAATGAAACAGACCTGTCTTGTTGGAGTTCACCCTCAGGAATGATTTCCAGTTAGATGCTAAGCGCGCGCCTCTGCACTCAGTGACATGCCCTCCCCACGTATTAGTCTGGTGTATGATTTCAAACTATCTTGAAGATAACGATCCCATACAATGTCCAACCTTTCAACAGTACTCAGCTGGTTCAGCACGTTTGGAATGAAGACCTTCTTGGAGAAATCATCGAATGTTTGATTCTCACAGGATCTAGAGTTTGAACTATAGCAGCACCATCAAAGATCTTAACTTTGATCAGGTGGTTCAACAGAATGAGTTGTGGCTAAAGGCTCCAATGATTTGAAAATGTGAGTTAGTCTCATCAAATTGTTTTCTGCATGTGAAGGTGGCCAGGCATGATTTTCATGCTGAAAGAACGTTTCCATATCACCATCCCTGTTCTGACAAGAAATGTAAAATTTGGAGAAGAGTTGAACATTTTTCTCATGTTTGACACTTTTGTTCTGGAAACAGACTTCCTACTGCCACTGCCAAGTAAGGTGAAATTGTTCTTAGAGATGTTGTTATACACCTTTGCGGAAGATTCTTTCAGGCGATCATCTACAACTTCTTGATGTTGCTTCCTTCCAGCTGCTTCTGCTTTGTGTACATTGTGAGCAACATCCTCACTCATGATCACCCTTGTATCCAGTGTCAGAATTTCATTTGTGTCAGCTGAGAGTGGGTTGCCTTGATCTGAAATGGTTGTGACAACATCTTCGACATTCCTTTCAAATTGTCTCTGGATGCTCTGTGTTCTGCAGTTGGTCTCATACTCATTTAAAAGGTGTGTGATGTTTGGACATCTTACAATCCACCTTTTCAATGCTGCCTCACTTTCCGTGATTCCAAGTACGCCACAATCTCCTTTCAACACAGCATTAGTGAGTGGGTGAGTATGGTTTTACGCCGCTTTTAGCAATATGACAGCAATATCACGGCGGGAGACACCAGAAATGGGCTTCACACATTGTGCCCATATGGGGAATCGAACCCTGGTCTTCGGCGTAACGAGCGAACTCTTTGACCACTAGACTACCCCATTGCCCCAACAGCATTAAGTTGTTCATGGATCTGATCATGAGGAAGCATACTGAACCTGAGCTGAGTCTACTGGGTTACAAAATGTCCTTTCTCAAACTCTCTGTGAATGGAAGGAGCAGTGTGCCCGAGTTAGAAAAGATCACAAACATGTACTGTCATCCTCTTGCATAATGAATATGGTCAAGAGCAAACATCCATGGAATCATATCTGCAAGGGCTTCAAGATACAGCTTGTAATTTCCCTCACACTGTGAGTACAAGAACTTGAAGAAGAAAATTTCTAGCTTCATTGAAGTGTCCCAGAAGTAAAACTGTGGAGATACATGTATGTCCATCCGTTCCTTACACCAATCATCAAATGAGAGTGTCTCCTCAGTTTCAGCAAGGAAGTCAGAGAAGGCTTTCTGTTGCAAATGCAAGAGTGCAGCCACTGTAAGTTGATGCGCATACTGACATCTAGATACATGTGATCCTTTTTCGTTTGCAGAGGCCCTTCCATCTGTTGTCACATTGGAGTTGACAAGACCTGATGTCCACCCAGTTCTCCTAAAACAGCCAGAAGTGTCATCTCTATATGGAGTCCGCCAATCAAGACTTCAACTTGTCTTCTCCATATACCTCTGGCAATGTCCACTGAATTTTCTTGGAAACGGTCGTTGATCAAATGTAAACACAGGTATTTGCTCAGGATTTAAACACTGAATTGCACTCTTGATGACATTTACAGCATGCAATGAGCAGTGTCTGTGAATGAAGGCAGCATTCTACTGACGGCTGTGGACATGGAGCTGATGGCATCTTCTCTGCAAAGTAAGCTGACCAGGACATGTTGGCTGTCGTTTGTATTTGTCCACTGTCCAATAGCAAAGAAGCCACTGTTTCTGTTCCAAATCAATGTCACCTGTTGACGTTAACACTGTTGCTCCACGAGTTTTGGATGGTAATGGTTTGTTGCTTGGAAAGTTGGCTGGTGCTACATTAGTGTATGATTCCAATCGAGGGTTCTCGTGAGTGATATGATTTGTAAGACACAAGGCATTGCCATGTAAAGCTGACTTGGCGAAAGTCGATGATGGGTTGTGATCTATGTCGTCAAAATTGCCAGTTGTAAAAACTGTAGGCCACAAACCTTCATTGAAATTCCATGCAGAAAACACACAAGGGAGGCCACTCTCATGCTATTACTATTCATGTTCATAAAGCGAGACAATTTTCATGTAAAGAGAGGTTATTTTCATGTAAAGGGAGTAAGGATAAAAAATGGTGATTTATTATGTTTCGATCACTAGTGTTTCAATTTTAGCAATTTCATTTGTCAATAAAATTAAAACTGGAGTAAATATGGCCTGCCTCCAGATCATTTTATGTTTAGAATACTGTAGGCCACTTATGTGCAAAATATTACCTTTCCTGCCACCAAGTATTAATTTTGCAAATCTGTTACCAAGCCGCAACCGCCTCCGTGGTGTAGTGGTTAGAGCGCCCGCCTGCAGAGCGGAAGGTCGCGGGTTGGATCCCCGACCGCGTCATACCAACAAGGCGTTATAATATGGTACTTGTTGGTCCCTGCCTGGCTCTCGGCATTAATGGGTACAACAAGGACTGGTCGGCTCGGAGTCAGTATAATGTGTCTGAGTGGGGTATTCATACCTCACTGCGGCATGGTATCTCAGTGGGCTAGCACTATAAAACCAGCTTCAGCCTGGGCTAGTACAAGCAGCCGCACATACACATACACACGCATGCACGTCGCCATATGAGCGAAATATTCTCAAGCACGACGTTAAACCCAATTTCACCTCACCTGTTACCAAGCCGCTC